AGCCAGGACGACTCCGGAACCTCGTAACGGAGCCAGAAATTGAACGAAGTCCCAAACCTGAATGCAGACGGATCCATTTCAGAGGCATAATCCGGGTCACGCAGGAGGTAAGCTGCAAAGGCCGCTCACACCACACCAGGTTGGATGCGATAAGCCGAAAACCTCCGGAAGGACGGAACCGACGTACCCGGGGGGACACGGAACCGAACCCGGGGAGGGGCCGACACCAAATCCAATTCGTACGCAGAGGGGGGAAAAGAAAACCCCACTCCTTGTAACAATAAGCCCCGCTCAAAGAGAAGAAAAACCCAGGCGGGGTCCAGCGGGGCCCAAGGCCCCCAAGTCAGCCCCTCCCCAGCCTCGAGGTCCTTCACCACAGGACCCGAGGCCGAGTCCTCTCCCCAAGCCCCGACCCCACAAGACAAGGACGGAGCAGCCGGAAAAGCTGGAGGAAGGGGGGGCCCACTGGTCAGACCCAGAAGCTTCGGCCGGGAGACAAGACTCGAATGCCTCTGCCGCCCCCCCGGAAGGGGCACCCCCCGAAGCTACCCGAGTCTCGAGATCAAGTAACCCCTGCTCCGACCCCGAAACCCTCAGACGCTTCGGGGCCGGAAGCAGGGGGGGGGGGACTAGAACGAACAGAAGGGGAAGGACGAGGAGGTGCGGACTGAACCAGGATCGAAGCGACCCCCACCCCCATGTCCGGGTCTCGAAAAGCAAAGCGGGGCAGCCCCGGGGCATCCGGGTGAGCAACCAACCGAGCGCGTTGCAACAGACGAAACCTAGACTGCAACGCACGCGCCGCCTGTACCCGAATAGAATCATCAGAGGATTGGGTAAATTGAGTCACAAGCAAGCAGCAACACTCACAGGACTCAGGGTCGAAAGTATCACCGACCCAACAGGCAGCGTGGCAGAAGCAAAAACAATGAGGGTCACCCTGAGACAAGGGGGACCGAGCAACCCTCAAACTCGCACACAGCGAGTGGGGACTCCGGGGTCACATCCATCGGACCCACGCGCCCCCTAGGGGATTCCCAGGGTCCTGAGCATTTACTTTAAGAGGACTCGCGCTCAGGTAGTCCCAGGCAGGGTGCTGCAAACCGGCGCCCAAAACTACCAAGCAAACTTCTATAGCTGAACCCCAGGGACGTGTACACTCACGGGGACCTAGCAGGGGGCGCCACCGAGGAGAACAGTGGAAGGGCAAAAACAAACTGAATAAAATGACAGAACCCCCCACCAGGCAAAAACAAAAACAAAAACAAAACCCCGCAAGAGGACAGTGAACCCCAAGGAACAGAGCCGGCCGCGATGTCGGGAATACAAGCTGAGCAGCACCCTGCGTCCCTACCAGTGCAAACTGCCTCTTACCTGCCGGTAACAAGGGAGAACAGAACACCCAAGAGCCCAACAGGCGGCCGAAAAACCGAAAGGTAAAACGGACCAGCAGAGGCAGACCCCGAGGAGCCTGTGGAAGGTGGCCCCAAGCCCCAAGGGCAGTACTTACAGGGCACCTAGGGAAGGCAGCCCTAGGCGCATGCAGCCTGAGTACTGAAGATAACTCCTGGCTCTCACACCCACAAAACCAACACCACATGCAAAGCACAGTGCAGTAGCGACACAGGAGCCAGAGCACACGACCATCGCCTATAGCATCAGCCTCAAGAACTGAGGTGTGGGTAGCCGGCGTGGGGTGTCTGGGGCTCCCCCTTCCCCCTCCCGGGGAGGGGGGAGCTGCGCAGACAGCGGCGCGGCGGTGTGTTTGACCTCACACTAGTTTGCTTGTTTTCAGTTGGGGAGTTCTATCCACTAGTTCGGCTTTTGGTAGCAATTTTAACCAGAATAGGGATTTGTTTTGAGGCGCTTACCTTTCTGGGTGCCTGTTCCGGTCGATGGCAGACATAGAATGCTTCCAACCACACGGGGGCTTCTATAGGCCATTGCTCCCCTTGCCTCTCTGAGGGGGGCCCGGTTCTGGCCGTGGTCCCCGGTAGGCCTAAGAACTCCATACACATGACTGATGCCAAAGTCTGACATTAGCATATCAGCCTGGGATAGCTCTGGGGAGCCGACGGGGCTCCCCCCCGAAAAGTTGTTATTTTATATCTCGCAATGGGTCCCAAGAAAGCCAGTGGTAAGGTTCAACCTGAGAAAATAATTGTGAGTAGAGGCAGTAGAGGATGTCCCTTCCTCATTAAGAAAATGTGTGAAGTATGGGAAGAACTGCAAAGTTTTGTTGAAAAAACTCACCCAGATAAAGCTGTAGCAGGCCGTTGCATTGACCTTTTAAATGACAATGTGATGTCTTACTACAGACAAGTGTTAAAATGTAGGGAAAAACAAGTGTCTTTAAACAGATTCTTAGTAAGACAAGCAAGTAGTGAGCCACAAGCAGGTCCTAGTGGTATGCCGGCAAAACGTGCCCAAGTGCACACCAGAAAAGTCCTCACTGCCTGATGTTATAATGGAAGGGGACTCCCCTTCCAAACAGTAACACCTCTCCTCCTCCCCCCTCCTCACCATCTTCCATATGCCAACAGCAGTCATCAGCAAGGGTAAGTAATAACTTGAACATACTTTTGTAGTGTAGATTTAGATGAATTAGGTATAAAATTTAGTTTGAAGTGAGGTTTTGAGTAATCAGGAATGGATTAATTCATTTCCCATTATTTCTTATGGGGAAATTAGCTTCGGTTTACGAGTTTTTGGGTTACGAGCCATCTCCAGGAACGGATTAAACTCTTAAATCGAGGTACCCCTCTTGTAAATGTTCAGGGGGCCCTTTCCGGCCTTATGTTGCGTTGAGGTGTCTATCGCAACCAGTGGAACCTCGATTGACAACTGCCCTAAAAGACAATTTTTTTTGGAATACGACGTCAAATTCATTGTAAAATTTGAATTGGAAGACGGTTTACTTAGAACACGACGTCTGTTCGTAAACGTATGGGTCTAACAAGCACGTGGGACTGGGGCGCGCTGAGGCACTGTTTGCCAATGTGTATTCCATGAAGTGATGAACGCGGCCGTGCTTGAATTCATTTGTGAAAAATATCATTGTTTGCCTGCTTTTTTTGCTTTTTAACAAAGTTCTTATTATATATCACGCCATGGGTCCCAAGAAAGTCAGTGGTAAAGTTCAACCTAAGAAAATAGTTGTGAGGATGACGATAAAAAAAAAAAAAAGGAAAAACAAGAGATCATTCATAGTGAGAATGTGATGTCTCACTACAGACAAGTGTTAAAACTTTGGGAAAAACAAGTGTCACTAGACAGGTTCTTAGTGAGAAAAACAAGTAGTGAGCCACAAGCAGGTCTTAGTGGTATGCAGGCAAAACATAGGAGAGTGTACCCCAGAAAAGTCATAACTGCTTGATGTTATAACGGAAGGGGACTCCCCTTCCAAACACTAACACATCTCCTCCTCCTCCTCCTCCTCGTCATCTTCCATACGCCAACAAGAGTCCTTATTGAAGGCAAGATAAACATACAGTACTCTATTGTAGTGTTATTTGGTATAAAATGTATTTTTAAGTTAATATTTTTGGAGGTGTGGAATGGATTAATTAAATTTACACTACTGTATTTCTTACGGGAAAATTTGTTTTGGATGACAAATTTTTGGATGATGACGTGTCTCTGGGAATGGATTACTATCGTAAACAAAGGTACCACTGTAAAATTGCCTTTCATTATATTCAGCGCTGTATTTTTGTTGCTTTATAATTCTTATGTTCTTCTCACTCTTAAAATGTGCATATGTAAGTTGGCTTTTTAGCAATCTCTCAAAAACCTTAATTAATGATGTGTGATGTTAGTTTGACAGGACTATTTTTTAGCTATTACTGGTTCAGTACTTTACTTTTTCCCTTGTAAAGTGGAGTGATGTCAACAGTTTTCAGAATGTGTGGCATGTCACCTATCTCTGGGTTTTTCTCCATATTAGCATACAGTATACAGTTTACTGAATACACTTGCTAATGGTATTGTACCTTCTTTATAAAGAATGAATTCTAAGAATTCATTCTTGGAATAAATGGAACTTGAACCGAGTACATGGGCTTACAGTATTGCTTTATGTTTTTGTAATATTCTATGTCTTTTTCTGTGGGTCAAATTCACGAAAATGTTTCTCTGGATCTACTTTCAATGCTACCATTGCATTACATTACTAAACAAGGATTTATATTATTCTTTCAGAATGTAGCTAATTTCTATATACTAATAGTTTTCAATGTTCATACCTTCCCTTGTATATGTAAAAATAGACACCAAGATAAGAAGTGCGAAAATACAAAAAGTATGAAGAATTTTTAGTGTAATTTTCACCTAAAATACAAATTAATTTGTCAGTAGAGTGATTTATGTTCTTAATGATATATATTCTATGATTGTGGAACACTTTTTGCCTGATTTTGAGGTAGCTGGACAGCTCAGACCAGGAGGGAGGATGGTAGATGGAGCAAGTGAAGGTAGGCAGGCCAGGTGAGAAGACAGAACACAAGTCAGAGATAGGGAGGTGAATGAGAAGAAAGAACGGGAAAGGGGAAGATATAAACCATCTTTTAAAAATACCTAAATTTAAAAATATAAGCCCTTCATAAAAACAACACCTACATATATAAGCAAAAACACATAATATAAGTATGCATGTAAGTTAGTTAAAATTATTAATCTAAGGATTGCCACTAACAAAATAACAATTTGAAGTCAGGAATACAGTAGATTGAGTATTGCAAATCTTTATACAGCCTTGTTAATAAAAATGATCTAAATACAAACTGCACAGTATATAATGATAATGTCTATATGCTCTGCAGTTGCAGTGAGTTTCTCTTATGTAATTATTGTACTGTAATTTTTATGTAAACTTACCATATTATAAATGCACTGTACAACCATTTATGTAATAAAGCTTTTCATTGATTTGATAACTGCCCCCGAAATATATCTATTCAGCAAAAAACTTGGAAATATTAGTTTTATTTTCACAAACTTACCATGTCCAGGTGAATAAAGCCTTCTACTGACAGGGAAGACATTGCCTCCGTCAGAGAGAGATCTAAACACCTTTGCAGGCGATGGAGACAGTTCTTGAGACACCAAATTACTTCGCACTAATTCAGCACTCTTACGCTGCCTTGGAGAGTTATTGTAGTGAGTTCCAAACTCATACTCAAAACCTAAAGTTAAAAACATAAAAACAAAACAGATTGTAGGACAAACGACTGATAGAGCAAACTACACATGCAAACAACTGGGACAATAGTATAATATTGGGGTGGCACAGTTACAGTTGTCCAAAGTTATTAATGAAAAATTATCACAACACTAAGCTTCAATTACAATTTAACAAAATGTATATATGCTAATTGTGGCTTATGGGGGTGTGACTGTGAATATGAAAACAAATGTGGCAGATATCTTGAAAAGTGTGCATGTATGTGAGCCAAGTGAGTGTTAGAGCAAGAACGACTTGGTGACTGAGCAACTGAGCGAGTGTGTTTGTGTAATTACCTAAGTGTGGTTACCGGTATGTGGTGTCCCATCTTCCCTATAAGCTCTGTCATATATTTTTCAGCTTCTGATAGTTTTGTCATCATCTACCCTCTCATTTAAATTATTCCATAACTGTTTGCAAAAGAAAACTGTCATATAGTTTTTGGCATCTTTGCTTCCTAAGCTCGAATCTCTGGCCTTTTGTTCCTGAAGTTGCATGTTCATTAAATTTTTCTTTGTCAACTTTGCCAAATACTATTACTATTTTGCATGTGTTATCATATTGCCTATTTTTGTTCTACTAGCTGTGACATACAGTACTGTATTTAATGCCTACAGCCTTTTCAAATATATATACATATTGTTTTAGTCTGGAAGACATTTAATAGCATATCCTTGCAACTCCTGAATATTTTAATTTCTGTTTCACAAATGTCATGAACTATTTCTTTAATATTTCTCCATCCTTAACCCTTAAACTGTGCAAAACCTCATATGATGTGTGACATTGAACTTGGTTTTAAAATTTTCTGAAACTCTTTCAAATATTTTGTCAATAATCTACTAGGCAAACGCGCCAACTTTGTCTAAATGATACCAGTGTAACTTGAAAAACAAGAAATAAAAAAATAATTATCAAACTGAATATTGAAAACTTCAGATTTTGAAATCAGCTGCAAAAATATAAAAATATGACCAACTGTTCATTTGGTGTTATTATGCTCTCAGAGTAGCATATGATCTCCATTTTCATATATTTAGAATATAGGTTTTCAGTATAGTTTACTGTAAACAAAAAATTTTAATATGGCATTTGAAATGTGAACAAATTTAGACAACAAAAATTTATAACTCCAAACGTTTAGAGTTTATGAAAAATCAATTCTATAGGGATTGTAGAACAGACAGCTGTGGTCACTATATGTAAAAATGGTGAGAATTGGTCAGAAACTGGATTTTTGGATACTTAAGTAAGGTGAAATTCTAGCTATAGATATAATTGAAGTTGAAGTTATCGACAAGTTGTAGGTCAATGTGTGTAGAAATGAAGTCAAGAAAAAATAACCCCCCCCAAAAAAAAAAAAATATAGGGATAATTATAATAATTATAATGATTTAGGGAATATATTTAGGGTATACTTTATATAAGTTAAAAAGCCCTAATCTGGTCCCTAATCATTAAAACAACCTAAAGAAACAAGGAAAATGGAGTTTGAAATCTGTGAAAAAATCAGCCAAAAAAAATTCAAAGTGTCAAATTCTAAGAGTTGTGACCGATTTATTTGTTGACCAATTTAATTCTGGCTTCACATAGTTAGAGACGAGTATGCATTCTCCAGGATGTAAAGATTAAAACAAATTCAAATAATAAACAAAGGAGGAAAAACTAAAAACCTAAAAAAAAAAAATTCCCCTAAAAAATTTTTTTTGGGACATTGTTGAAAGTAATTGATAATAACATTGGGCAATGTATTTATATGATATATAACAAAATAGAGCATAGTAACATAATTACTCATTATTATTTGTGTTATTATGTATTACTCAGCAATGCCATAAAGGCACCAGCTGTATATCCACTTTGTGGACACTTCTTACTACTATTCTTCTTCTTCTTTGTGCATCGGACAGGTGCTCTCATCTCTTTATTATTGCATTATCCATCAGTTCCAGTTAATAGGAGCTGTTCACTTTATCAACAAAACATTTTTTTTTTTTAAATATTTGTCTAAAATCAATTTCAGAAAATATTTTGATGAAAGTTTCATGAAGCTGAAGCCAATAATTTGAAGATTTGTTTATCATTTTTAAGTACTTTTTACATAATTCGAATATTTTTCAAATTATACCCCCCTTCAATGTCACACATCATATGACGTTTTGAACAGTTTAAGGGTTAAACTTAACGGCAATTTTGAAGGTCACAAGCATCTTCTTGAGGTTATCTTGAGATGATTTCGGGGCTTTAGTGTCCCTGCGGCCCGGTCCTCGACCAGGCCTCCACCCCCAGGAAGCAGCCCGCACAGCTGACTAACACCCAGGTACCTATTTTACTGCTAGGTAACAGGGGCATAGGGTGAAAGAAACTCTGCCCATTGTTTTTCGCCGGCGCCCGGGATTGAACCCGGGACCACAAGATTACAAGTCCAGCGTGCTGTCCGCTCGGCCGACCGGCTCCCCATTACTCATTCCCATTCCATTTCCCTGCACTATAACCAGCATAGTGCAGGTTATTTCATAATGCCTATGATGGTGGTTCTCTGCTGATGATTTACTATCCTGAACTACCCTAATATCTCTGCCCGAGTTCTTTAGTATTTTTTCACAAAATCTATAGGTTAAATGTGGCCTGCTCTCCCTTATTCCACATTTCATTATGTGGCATTTATTAATATTGAATTTTATCTGCCATGTGTTGTTCTATTTGTTTAATTTGTTTAGGTAATTTTGAAGGATATGACACGTCATCTAGGCAGGAAGGTAGGTAGGTAAGTAGGTAGGTAATGGGGGAAGGGGATTTGTGCAATTACCTAAATAAAAATTACTTAAGTGTAGATACAGGATGAGAGGTGGGCTTGTAGTGTCCTGTCTTCCTAATAATATTAGTCATGTGACATTTTGAAACTGTAGATGGTTTTGGTATCCATCACCTTCCCAGCTAAACTGTTCCAACTGTCACAACTTTGTTTATAAAAGAACCCAAGGTGAGACTATCTGGTCAGACTGTTTTCTTTCTGCCTAGCTCTTTGAGCAGGTTTTCTACCTTATCTTTAGTCACTTCAAGATACTCTTATAATGTGCTCCAAAGTCTGTATTGTGTCTGGTTCTCTGAAATCTCATTTTGCACAAATATTTTGGAACTGTTCGTTTAATGTTTAATAAATTAAATTTTCAGTCTGTCCTCCTATCTTCAAATTCACTAGAATACACTGTTTTCTCAAGACTAATGCCATCCAATTGTTCAAAATCCCTAAACCATCTCAAGATGCTCTCCTGTACTTTGTAGTTTTTGGACATTTGCATTTCACATTTCTTCATCTCATTTAAATTTCATTCTCTATCCTCCCTAACATCACACATGGTACTCTGTCCATTTCAACTGTTCTACTACTTGATTTGTTTATGTTCATACGACACCATCTTGTCATTTCCATTTACAAGGGATGTTCACTGTAATATATGTGGCAATAATGTAGTATGTATGCCATGGTATCGTATGTTATGGTATGAGATCATGGTATCGTATGTTATGGTATGAGATCATGGTATCGTATGTTATGGTATGAGATCATGGTATCGTATGTTATGGTATGAGATCATGGTATCGTATGTTATGGTATGAGATCATGGTATCGTATGTTATGGTATGAGATCATGGTATCGTATGTTATGGTATGAGATCATGGTATCGTATGTTATGGTATGAGATCATGGTATCGTATGTTATGGTATGAGATCATGGTATCGTATGTTATGGTATGAGATCATGGTATCGCATGATATGGTATGAGATCATGGTATCATATGTTATGGTATGAGATCATGGTATCGCATGATATGGTATGAGATCATGGTATCGTATGTTATGGTATGAGATCATGGTATCGTATGTTATGGTATGAGATCATGGTATCGTATGTTATGGTATGAGATCATGGTATCGTATGTTATGGTATGAGATCATGGTATCGTATGTTATGGTATGAGATCATGGTATCGTATGTTATGGTATGAGATCATGGTATCATATGTTATGGTATGAGATCATGGTATCATATGTTACAGCAAAAATTTGTTTGCAATGAAATTTACTTGTGACTATTTTGATATTTAGAGTTTTATCAAATTGGATATACTGTACTGTACTGTCAAGCATTAAAAAACTTATGTTTTATTTAGTATAAATATCTACATTTCTATGTACATTAAATGCAGTTTTGTGTGTTAAAAGAAAATAGAATTGTTAACATTTATATATCTATTAAAAAAATATTTAAATATCTAAATATTTATGAGCTAAAAAGACATGCACAGGACATTACAGGCATTTACATGTACAATGTAAAATTCACATACAGAGGTTACTTCATCACAAAACGGATAAATCTTACACAATTATCACTAAACTGCACATAAGTTTTCCATTAAGGAAAATAAAAAGCAGCAAAATGGTTTCATAGCAATATAAGAAACATTAAAATACTGCATTATTTAACCCCTGGAATGCACACCTGTTTACAGTACGTCGAGGGGCATATGACTAAAAGTAGTTAATACGATAAATCAAATGAGGACAAATGGCATATGATGACTGGATCAGTGTAAGGGTTAATCTGAAGTATGCTAACTACTACACATTACATACTGTGAAGTCTGTTACTGTACTGACCTTTAAAACCGAGTAACAGATACATGACAAATAACCCAACCCCACATACACATGAAATTTAATGAAACTAATGTTTCAGGCCATCCTGGACCCTATCAAGTTGTGACACTGGTCTATGGACTGAAATGTTGTCACTTTCATTTCATTTCATATGTGTAGGTGTGTGGGTTGGGTTATTTGTTTCAACCATGTTACTGTGCCTTATTTGCTGCAGATACATCACCTTTCTTTTTCTTCTAACCCTAGGATTAATCATGTGAGAGATAATTATAGCATATAAATAAAATAATGATAATTTCACTCACCAAGTGGAAGTTGGTCGTTATCTCTCTTCTCAAATTCTTGTTTTCGTTGGGCTACATTTGGAATTTTAGAGCGTTGTGAAAGTCGTGAAAGCTCAAAGCGATGAAATGCTGATTTGCATGAGGCTTCCTTCTCTAATTGGCTACTTTCAAACTGTTTCGCTCTCTTTGATACAATTTGAAGCTGCTTTATGCGTTCGTTATCACCCACCCATGCTAATGGAATCGGGCGTATAATCGAAGAATTGAGTGATGTTTCGCTGCCACTTGGGGTGCCACCAGGAGTCACACCCTGTGATGTATCCCCTTGCTTACTACTAGCAAGGCCCTGGCTTGTGAGGGATGAAGATGAACCAAGCTCTGGTATTGCAATATTTTCTTGAATTCGAGACAGAGTAGTTACAAAAGCTTTTCCATATCTCGCATTAGCTGGGTTAGCCTCGGAAGTACTTCCACTATATGGCTTAGGTACAGCATTGCCAACTAATGAACGTGGTAATACAGTAGAAGCACTTTGAGCTGAGGACAAGTTTTGTATTTCTGCATGATTTGTGATTTCATTTCCACTTGGTAGTACAGGATCTATTGAAGATTCTGTTTTGCCATCATTCTGCAGTGATGATTGAGAGCCAGGTACATTAGTTCCTCTAACACTCGCACTACTGTCCAAAGGTTGAGCCTGCTCCGTGTCCGGCTTTACTTTCCGTGTCTGATCCTGCTTAGGACTGACAATAAAACTAAGAGCCTTTGTTACTGAGCCAGGAGATGGGGGAGTTTGAGCTGCTGGGGGTGGCCACATTGGGCGTGGAAGTCTTTGTGGATTAACATGATAGTCACTGTGAATAATTGGAGCTTTGCTGGCTGGAAGCCATATAGGTTGATTTGGTCTTTTCAAGAATTCTTCTTTTCTTTCAACATTCTTTTTAATTCTGTCAATGACCTCTTGAGTTGACTTATCATTCGTTTGAGAATTTTCCTTATTACTAATGATTGGTTCTGTACAACTTCTTCTTGAATACGAATTATGTTTATTACCACTGCGTGTGAGTGCTTCATTTTTTGTGCTACTGAGACTCTGGTGGCTGCCATGCAGAAGTACATTATTAGAGGAACTGATAACACTTGGTCTCTCAGGTCTTGGGTGTACACTTGCACTTCGTGCATGAATCTGATCCACTTTTAATCTTGGAGGGGAAAGTGACTGTACACGAACTCTTTTAGCATCAGCTTCTCCACCAACTTTTGATTTTCTGTCATGGTGACTTCCTGAATTATTTCTAACACCAGTTGTACCCTTTTTTACAGTTCCTTTCTTATTACCATTACTGTTGAGTTTACTTTCTACAACTCTAGTGTGCACAACTTCATAAACACGCCCATCAGGATCACACTCTAGTCTCCTGCTGTCTCTTACTTTCCCTCTTCCTATAGCTCGATCAAGAATTGGTTCATAAATACCAAATACAGAGGCATTAGAAGGTTCATTTGAGGAAGCATGTGTTGAACTTCCAGGAAGATTTGTACTTGTAAGCAAGGGACTTGGCTTCCCTGATTTTGAAGGCACATAATGAGGCACTGAAGACAGACTATTTTGAATGGTATAGACAGCTTGTCTTCTGTCTGCCATCCCAGGTAATGACTGTTTCCTGTTACTAGATGTAACTGCTGTTTGATTATCTCCAGAAGAGAGCGAGTGCTTTCTGGTACCAGGCCAGTATGGCACAGATGAATGGTTCCCATGGATGGTTAGCTGCTGATGAGGAAGAATGGGAATATGTGCTCCATGTGGCTGAGAAACCTTGGGAGACTGATGAGACTTTTGATGGAATGGTGGATGAGCCACCATGACTGTAGGTGGGTGATGTCCAGTAGACATTGTGGACAGATGTGATGTCAAAGACGACTGAGATGACCAAGTAGATTGTGAAAGACTTGGCGGGTACTGCACGAGTGACCCGCCTAAGGATGCATGAGTCAGACTAGCTGTTAGCGGGTGCCTAATGGGATGTTGCAGAGGCAGGAGACCAGGACTGGGCATTCTTATGTCCAAGTTACTCTCAGGATTATGGGCTGTTTCTCCAAACACCTAGGGAAGAAAGAAAGAAACTTGCTTAACACATTTAAAATTATTACCAATGTTTTAATTACGGTACATACAATTTTTTGACACCACATTCTCATTATAATAAATCTTTTATTAAAACTGTTAATTTGTTTCATGAATTAACAAAATAATGCATTTACTGGAATAATGAAAGTTTCAATGATTTGCATCTTCTGGTGACATCAAAAGACAATGAAATCTGATTAAAGTAAACTTCCAGATAAGACAAGGTTCGTAGTTCTCAATAAGCCTAAGTACTACCCGACTATAGGAATTATATAAATCAATATACAGTATAAGTTTTCATAAATAGTTGAACATAAATAACTGACTTACTTTAATTTACAAAATTCAGGTTCATTATTAATTTATACAAAGAAAAAGTAATTTTATCAACCTTATGGTGACCATTATAATTACACAAGAGTAGAGACAAACCTGCTGAAGTAGGTCTTGCTGCCGAGGCACCACCATGAGGTGAAGTGTGGGGGGTGACCGCTGTATGGTGGCCACCACCTCCTGGTAGCTGCGCGACCCCACGCCTTCACCATTAACGCTTACTACACGATCACCTGAAAAACATAGGAATACCTGTACAGTACTGTATAAAAATATGGGAAACTGCAGAAGGAATATTGGCCCATGCAAGAGAGCTCCTATTTGTAATCAACAAAACTCTTTTAAACTTCAATTTAACAATTAATACATTTAAGTATAAAATGTGACAGACCACTAAGATGAAGGAAGGCAATAAATCCTAAGCCCAATATTTAACAATAAAAAAATGGAGGCTATTTTGAATATTTAACACTACAATACCTAACCCCAATATCCCTTGGTCTGGATGGTAGAGCGACGGTCTCGCTTCATGCAGGTCAGCGTTCAATCCTCGACCGTCCAATATGGTTCGGCACCATTCCTTTACCCCGTCCCACCCAAATCCTTATCCTAACCCCTTCCCAGTGTTATATAGTCATAATGGATTGGCATTTTCCCCCTGATAATTCCCTCCCTTCCAATATATCACCTAGACACACAGCCCCAATCCTGTGCCAGGTAAGTCCACTATGGGCTACTTGGAACTTTTCGTTCAGAGTAGCTGAAACTAAAATAACAACAACAACATTACTTAAGAGTTTATTCCAGGTATCAATATGTGTGCATCCTAGTTTCTATCTGGGACTTACAGTTGACTGATTAATCAGGCTGCTAGATGCCATTGCCAGCAGTCTAATGTAGAAATCACAGACTGGTTGACCAGGTGTCTCTTGAAGGTGCTTAACAAGTTCCATTTTAAATGCTGAAAGAATTCAGCTAGAATTCTAGCTGAATTTTATATACAGTGTACTGTATATGGAACCCCTTGGTATATGGAACCCCCTATATTAAGAGGAAGCATATTGAAATGTCTTGAACTCTTTGATTAAATGTTTTTTGAATTGTCTCTTTACATCTCCTATTGCACCCCTAATTTTTAATAAGACTATTTTGAACATTTTGTCATGCCTTCTGGTCTTGTAAAAAATTATTTTAGTGTGCTGATTTGGAACAGTCCCTCTAATATTATTCCACAAGTAAATTATGATGTATTTCTCTCGCCTGGTGTTTAACGAGCACAATGTGGGAGGACTTAAGACGGCTCTAATAATTTAGAGGTTTTATTGATTGGATTCTGGCAGTAAAAGTTCTATACTGTACTGTACTGTATAGTCTACATTTTCCAGGTCAGCAACATCTCTAACTTTGAATAAAGCATTCCACCCAAGATAGTACTGTACTAGGAATGGGTGTTGACTCTTAATCATGGGAACTTCTAATCACTGTAAGAGAGATTGGAAGGATACGGAACCCCCCGGGGTACCGATAAATGGTGAGCTAAATCTGTTCGGATATACCAGGTATATATATATGGCAGACCAACCTTGGAATAAGCAGCACTAGCATGTAGTCACTCTCTCATTAAACACTCATCGTTGGCCTAGTGGAAGGTCTTACAACCCAAGAGAATGTTTGTGACTACAGGAGAATTTGCAGGTATAAAAAGGGAAAGATCGACCCTTGAGGATCACTCTGAATGGTGCTATACAGATGGAAGAAGTACTAAGGAATGTTAGGAAATTACAAAACGATGAGGAAGGGAAATTCTGCTCATTAAGAGAAGATCTTTCAAAAGAAGACAGAGAGAAGCTGAAACTGAACGTCCTCGAGACAAAACGTCTAAATGAGAGCAGGAACGAAGAAGAAATCAACTTTTTTTTTTTTTCCTACAAGGTGATAGGGGTAGGAAGGAGAAATGAATAAGGAGAGAGGGAATGTATTCCTGAAAATTGTATACACCAAAATACTGTAGATGGAGTATCTACAGTATCAAAGAAACTGGAGTTAAGTGATGTAATACAGCTGCAGATGCCAGACATAGTCTTGTGAGTCTTGTAAGCCTTGTGTAGCTTCCGGGGATCAATGGCCCTATGGCCCAATCTTCGACCAGGTTTTCCGGTTGGTCGCCTGGACAACCAGCCTGTTGGACGAGGCTGCTCGCAGCCTGATGTATGAATCACAGCCTGGTTGATCAGGTATTCTTTGGATGTGTTTGTGGAGTTCTCTCTAGAACACTGAGAGGAGCCTGCCAGTTCTGCTCCTTACATGTAGCGGGAGAGTACTGAAAAGTCTTGGCCCCTAGATATTGATGGAGTTTTTCCTCAGCATACCTATTGCACCTCTACTTTTCAACATGGGTATTCTGCACATCCTGCCCATGCCCCTCCTGCACATTCTGGTCTCATGTGATATTATTTTTGTGTTTAGATTTGGAACCAGTCCCCCTCTAATATCTTCCATCTGTAGATTATTATTATGTACAGTATCTCTCTTGCTTGTGCTCTAGAGAATACAGATTTAGAACTTTTAATCAGTCCCAATAATTAAGATGACTGGATTCTAGATGACTGACAGGATGACTGGAATCGAGTGGATTCTAGTGATAAAGGTCAGCACTTTGAATGCTCTCCAGGTCAGCAATTTCTCCAGCTCTGAATGGGGCTGTTAGAGTACAACAATATTCCACCATAGAGAGCACTAGCGTCTAAACAAGTATCATCATTGGTATGGCATTCCTTGTTTGGAAGGTTCTTGTTATCCAACTTGTCAGTCACTTTTCTTCCAATCGTGAAAGCTACTTTATGGTGTTCTGTAAAGACAAGTTCTTCTGACATGAATACTCCTAGGTCTTTTACATTGCTTTTTCGTTCTATAGTGTAATTTGATTCTGTTTTATATGTTTTTGTTTTTAAATTTTTATTTTTTCCATAGCTCAGGAGCTGGAACTTATTTTCATTAAACATCACATTATTATCTGTGGCCCACTGAAAGACCCGATTTACATCCGATTGGAGGTTTGCTGTGTCCTCGATATTGTCTACTCCCATGAAAATCCTAGTGTCATCTGGAAATGATGATACAGTGTTGTATCATCATTTGTATCCTTGTAGTTTGTATCCTTGTCTGTGTCTGATATTAGGATGAGAAAAAGTACTGGAGCAAGTATGGTACCTTGGGGGGGGGGGACTGAGTTTTTCACAGATGATCTGGATTTTACCGTTGACTATTGCACTCTGCAGTCTGTTTGTTAGGATTTTTTTTTAAATCTGCGCTTTGCTTGTCTTTCATGGCACTCAAGGCCATGTCATAGTGATCTTGTTGTTAACTGTCATAGTGACATTGTTGCACTCACCGAGATGAAATTGAAGGTGATATTTTAAATGAGGTTATATTCCCAAGGGGCTTCTCAGTTGGAGACAGGACAGAAAATTTAGGAAAGGCAGTGGCGTGGCTGTGCTGGTAAAAGAGCACCAAAAGGTAAACAAAATAATGATTTTCAATTCATGAGAAGTTGACACAATAGCCCCTGGAGATCTGCAATCAGGATGATAAACTAATAATCATAAATGCATATAGTCTACTACCATGCAACCCCTGGACAAAGGAGATGCTGGATAATAAACGAGAGGGTCTTATATTAATAATGAAAGAGATTATAGCAAGAGCGGATAAAGATAGATCACGACTGTTGGTAGTTGGTGACTTCAAATTGAAATCCATAGATTAGGAGGCATATGATGCTTGAACAGAGGACTTTTGGACCTGTACAAACGTTCATGAATCAACACCTTAAAACAAGCTACGAGGATGGGGGAGAGGATGCTCCCTCCATGCTGAATTTGCTAATTACCAGGAAAGAGAATGAGATCTTTGACATTCAGTACCTTCCTTCCTTGAGTAAAAGTGACCATGTCTTTTGGGTAATAAAGTATGCAATGTGTAAGAAAACCCTGTAAGAAAATGAGGAGGTTGAAGCAGTTGTAAAACCTGATTTCAGGAGAGGACATCATGGGGAATATAAAAATTTCTTTATGGAATTTGACTGGAAAGACTTGCTGTTAGGCAAGGAAGTAAATGAAGTATATCAAGTTTTGTGAAATATATATATATGATTAAGGCACAAACAAATTTATACCAAAGCAGATATGCAGGACTAGGAAATAGGATTGGTTCAACAGAAATTGGGAGGGGACAGAGACCAAAATACATTACACAAAAATAAAATCAGTATAGGAAGAGGCCAAACCCCCAAACATACCAGCGATGCAAAGATGCGAGAAACAACTACACGGCTGTCAGGAGAGAGGCAGAAAGAAATTTTGAGAAAGGGATAGCAGACAAATGTAAAACAGAACCAGGCCTATTCTATAGATTCATCAATAGCTTGCAAACTGCAGGTAAAGGATAATATTCAAAGGTTGAAAATAGGAAACAGATTATCGGAAAATTAAAAGAAATGTGTGAAACATTAAACGAAAAGTTCCAAAGTGTGTTTGTACAAAATTAAATTTTCAGAGAATAATAAGAATTCAGACACAATAAGAATTCCAGAGAACAACATAGAGCACATAGAGGTGTCTAGAGACAAAGTGGATAAAATGCTCAAGGAGCTAAGCAAGAACAAAGCAGTTGGCCCAGATGGAGTTTCACCATGTTTTCTGAGAGAATGTGCACCTGAGTTCAGCATTCCACTTAAACTGATTTTTCAGGCATCCCTTGGTACAGGAGTCCCAGGAGATGTGTGGTAAATGACTAAAATTGTTCCAAAATATTGGGAACAATAGTCAAAATATTGGAAAAAATAATTAAAACTAAATGGGTAGAACACCTGAAAAAAAACTATATACTGTACAGTAATAACAGACAGACAGCATGGTTTTCGATCTGGAAGATCGTGTGTAATGAATTTACTCAGTTTCTATGATCGAGCCACAGAGAATTTACAGGAGATGGTTAGGTTGACCACATAAGAGGTTGTTCTGAAAACTGGAACATATTGAAGGATTGACAGGTAGGCTTCTAATATGGATGAAAAATTTTCTGACATAAAAATGAGGGCAGTAATCAGAGGCATTTCTCCAGCACAGACTGGAGAAATGTCACGAGTGGAATACCACAGGGTTCAGTTCTTGCACCGGTAATGTTCATTATTTACATAAGCGATCTACCTGATGGAATACAGAATTATATGAAC